TTAAACATATCGATCAAATTTGAATTATAAATAATATTTTTAATAAATTTTTTATATATTATTAATTTTTACATCGAATTTTATTAATTAATTGATTTTAATTTTTTATTAAAAATTTTTTAAAAAAATTTTTAAAAATTTCATTTAAAAAATTTCATGTAAATTTTATCCCAAATGAGAGAATTTATAATAACTTTCTTGATTGAAATAAAAAGTTTGTAACTTCATTGGTCATTAGTTTTAGAAAATAAAAGTTTCTTTATTTTTATTTTCTTAATTAAAATAATAATAATAATAATAATAATAATAATGTGTTTTGTAATTAAAAATAAAAATGAGTTTAAATATAAAAATTAAAAGAAATTATTCTCAATTATGAAAATATGAGATGTTCATTACTTTTTTAGCGTTTTACAAGTTAAAAAGTTAGCACACTTTTGAAGTTATTAATTAATATATGTATTATATTTATAATTAAAAATCAATAACAGTAATTATTTTCTTATTTGTTTTTTTTTTTGTCTTTAAATATATCTGACATATTGAATTATTTATAACCTTTTTTCATCTCTTTCCCTTCAAATTTCTTTTACAACAGTTTATCAAATTATTAAATAAAAATCAGAAGTTTAAAATCTACGATAATATCATTGAATATTTTAATTATTTTTTAATTTTAAAAAAAGTATATCGTACATAAAACATATTTCATTATTTTATATTTTAAAAATAATTTTATTTTTGTTTATCACATATATTTTTGAAAAAAGCAATGAATAAAAAACAAAAGGTGAAAATAAAAATAAAAACAAAAATATTTTCTCAAACAATGCAAAAAAAATTATCTCAACGTAGATGTTTTGAAAAAAAGAAAGTCTTCTTTTTTGGGTTTTTTTTTTTTTTGTAAAATTTTTTTTCACCATTAAACTTTTCTTTCTCATTCAAAAAAATAAATGGAAGGATTCAACCTACATTTTGGCATCCGAATTGCCATTTGTCACCAGTTAAAATTTATCCCTCCATAGTCCAAAAAAGTTCTTATTTGACACATTCTGAAAAGGTAAAATCCTGATTTAGAACAAATGATAAGTTTGATCCTTATTTACGCAACAATCTAAATATTATTAGCTAAATTCAGCATTTAGCCAATTAAATAGATAAAGATAAAAAACGGTACCTGTTTTTATCTTTTTAGTAAGGCTCCGTTGGGTTTCCTTTTACTTTTACTAAAAATGAGGAACAAATATCAAATAAAATCACCAACAAACAAAGCCTAACATTTTAATGTTTTTTTTACCAACGACGGTGCCGCGTCTAGGTGTGGGTGGTACGGGTTGTGAACTGGAACTCTAATAGTCCAAAAGGCTAACCTGGCGACAGGAACTGAGCAGCAATAAAGCCGAAAGCACTGCACTTTCCAGTTTTCTCACAAAAATAAATAAGTTAAAGCCGCGTGATATCATAAACTGTGTTTTTGCTGGATCGTGGTTGTGGGTGCGATTTTGACAGCTTTTTTTCTTTTTATGTATATGTTTTGTACTCAACAACTGTATCCAACCGAGCTGAATGGAGCTTCTTGGCCTTTTCGTCTACCCTTTCCAGCTTTCCTTTACTATAAATACCAAGCTCTAGCCTTCTTCTCATACAAACCAAATTATCAAGCTACTAACCTCTCATATTCCAACATATTCTCTCTGCTGGGCAAAAACCAGAAAAGAAAAATGAGTTCCTCAAGTTTCAATTTTACATTGCTTATGCCTCTTCTAGTTGGTTGTCTTATGGTGGCTTCTGCTAGCCACTTCAACCAGGATTTTGACATCACATGGGGAGATGGCCGTGGCAAGATAGTCAACAATGGGGAGGTTCTCACTCTCTCCCTTGATAAAGCCTCCGGTTCCGGTTTCCAGTCCAAGAATGAGTATCTTTTTGGCAAGATTGATATGCAGCTCAAGCTTGTCCCTGGCAACTCTGCTGGCACTGTCACCGCATACTATGTAAGTTATTCTCCATTTACTGCTTTTTTTCCCCACGGCTTTTATAACGACACATACAGATGGTGATAGGTTAAGTGCTGATAAATATGTATATTTCTATGTGCAGTTATCTTCGAAAGGATCAACATGGGATGAGATTGATTTTGAGTTTCTGGGAAACCTTAGTGGGGATCCTTACATTCTTCATACAAATGTGTTCAGTCAAGGAAAGGGTAACAGAGAACAACAGTTCTATCTCTGGTTTGACCCAACTGCAGATTTCCACACCTATTCCATCCTCTGGAATCCCCAACGTATCATGTGAGTATTAATAAATGGAAAAACCAAATCCCCCACTTGCATTATCTTTCCCCAATCTGTTTTCTTTTTTTGACTTTTGAAAGGAACAGTTTGATTGACAAAATGGTTTTGTGCTCTGTTTCAGCTTCTCTGTCGACGGTAGACCCATTAGAGAGTTCAAAAACATGGAATCAATCGGTGTTCCATTTCCAAAGAATCAGCCGATGAGAATTTACTCTAGCTTGTGGAATGCGGATGACTGGGCTACAAGGGGTGGTCTGGTGAAGACAGACTGGACTCAAGCTCCTTTCACTGCCTCTTACAGAAACTTCAATGCTGATGCCTGTGTTTGGTCTAATGGAGCATCTTCCTGCAAATCAAATACCCCATCTTCTGCCTCAGCCAACAATGCATGGTTCTCTCAAGAGATGGATTCAACAAGTCAACAAAGGCTGCAATGGGTTCAGAAGAACTACATGATCTACAACTACTGCACTGACGCCAAGAGATTTCCTCAAGGTCTACCTCCAGAATGCAATATGTCTTAAGAGGCAACCACAGTTAATTAATTAATTAGAGATCAATATTCTTTCATTTCTTTTTTCTTCTTCAGGCAAATGACGATTCTTTTGTTCTTTGGGAATTCCCTCTATTTTTATGTGATAACTGATACGTTATTATAAGATATGCAACAAGAGGAGTTCATTTCCCCTTTCCAAATTGATGGTCCTTGATCTATTTAGTTTCTAGCTTATCAAATAGAAACTAAAAAATTGAATATAAATATTGAGATATTTTAAATGATAATTTTAAGACTATTATATTAAATAAAAGGAGAGAGCAACTAATTTAGTTTTTCACCTTTTTATATTTTTATGTGATCTATATTTTGACAATTCAATAATTGAATTTTATACTTTATTCATACAAATAAAACATGTTATATTTTATGTTAATTGAAAATGTTTAACTATTTATTTAATCATAATTAAATTTTGATAGTTAATATATTCAAAATATATTATTTTCAATCGAAGTGATAAAGATATTATATTTACTTAATATTTTATGTACATGACTCCAGTTGTTAAATCTAATCAAATGATAATCCAAAGGTTTGGAGTAATATATAAACCAAACCATAATCCAAACGTTTGTAATAATTGTAAAAATAAAAATAATACTGTAATAAGTAATAATAATGAAATTAATTAATTAAGCATATTTTTTATTCTATAAAATCTGGATGGTACCATAGGTTAAAAAGTTAGCAAGTGGCTGGAAACAACTCTGCTTCTTCCCATATGGTTGATAATGAGATTAATTTGGAAGGTTATATGGAATTTGAAAATTCCTAGCAAAATTAGGAATTTCGAGTGGAGGTTGTGTAGTAATGTTATTCCAGTTGGGCTGAACCTACGGAGGAGAAAAGTTGTGGAAAATCCTAGCTGTATTTTATCTGTTGTGCACATGGTCTTGGGGTGTGACTGGAAAAGAGGGTTATAGTTTGAAGCATGTCATGGTTTAAAGGTCAGTAAAGAGTCCATTATTGGGCAATCGGAAAAAGTCCCTGAAAGATGGTCTCTGCTGAAGGAGGAATTAATGGATTAAAATAAAATTGTATTGGAGCTTTTGACCACAATGGCCAAAACTACCGACACTGGTGTTATTGCCCGAAATTAATGCAGACGTAGGGTTGTTGGGGTTTCTAATGTACTGATGGCCGAGGCTATGGCCTTCAAAAAAGGAGTTAATTTGGCTATGGATAAGAATTTTCAGAAGCTCATACTGGAAACAAATTCACAGGAACGGAGGTTCATTATGTCTTTACAAACAAAGGAGAAATAGATAGATCGGAGAATAAGACCAGTTGAAACTTATACCAGAAAAGAGGATTGAGCTGGTAATTAAGGAGAAATGCCAATGCAGCGGCAACTGGGTTACTAACCAAACTATGAAGCTGGTTATATTTGTAAAGAGATGTTTTGACATCGATAATTAATCGCAAATAACAAAAGCTCCAATCAAATGGAGCCTTAATTATTAACAATTGATGAACTGGCTCGTGACTCTAATAGACTTACATTTTTATTAATTATTTTATTAATATTTATTTTTAATTGAAATTTTGAAGAAAAATGAATTTAATTATATTGAAGATTTTTTATAAATATTCTAATATAATGATAATATTTTACAAAAAATCTTCTCACTTAAAGATTTCTTAAAACATCTATACTCGGAATACTTTTAGAATCTCATCATCAATAAAATTTCTTTTCTTCTCATTTTTATTACTTATATTTTTATTTTATTAATCAATTTTTCTTTATTACTATTTTATAACAAAAAAGAAAGGAAAAATTTTATTTTATTGAAATTTTTTTTATAAATACTCCAATAAATGGTAATATTTTAAAAAATCTTCTCACCTAGAGATTTCGTGGGTATCACTACTCGGAGTACCTTTGAATCTCATCGTCAGATAAAATTTTTTTTTCCTACATTTTTATTAGTTTAGTATTATTATTAAATTTATTTTTATATTATTTTGTTTTTAAAGTTTATTTTAAAAATTAACAAAATTATAAAAAAAATTTTAACCACATATTTCATCATTTAAACTAACAAATATAAATATTTTAATATGCATAAATATTAATAAAATAATATATAAAAAATTCAAAAAAAAATTTTTTTTACTTGAAACTGGATTGGTCAACAGTCCGATCAACGTGTGATTCGGTCTGATGGTTCAGGTGCGATTTGGCTTGGTCTAGGCGCGATCTGGTTGGCTCAGCAATTTCGTACCGGTTCGATTCGGGTTCAGCAGTTCGATTTCGGTTTAATCAGACTGATCAGAGGCTGATGGAGAAGTGGGTCGTGGGTCCGGTGCGCAAACCCTGGGTAAGGTCACGGGTTGACGCGTTGATCCTCAGGGGTTAAAATAATGACGTTTTGATCTTTATTGAAACGACGTCATTTTGGTTTTCACCGTTTATATAAAAGGTTCAAAAAAATTTTTTTGGTCATTTTTCCTTTCCTTTCAAAAAAAAAAAACCTGTTTCTTCTTTTTGTTTTTTTTTTTTTCAGGCCGACCTAGGGCTGATGGCCGTCTGTCGTGACGGCTAGGGGTGTAAATGATACATTAGTACTTGCAAGCAACTCGGGTTCGATTCGAAAAAAACTCGAATTCGGTTCGATTATTATCGAGTTGAGCTCGAGCTCGAGTAGCTCGACTTATCGATCGAGTCAAATTCGAGTATTCTTATATCTGACTCGAGTAGCTCGCGAGCCTAATCGACTTTTATATTTAAATATATTTTTATTATTTTAATTAATCAAATATTTTGAATTCAAGTTCGAGCTCGAGCATAAATAATCAAACTCTTGTCGAGTATACGAATCGAGCTTATTTTTACATATTAATCGAGCTTAATTGAGCGAGCTTGAGTAGCTCGAATTCGATCATAAATCGATCTCGAGCTTGAAAAATAAAACTCGATTGAATTCGAGCCGAGTATCGAGCCGTGAGTTATGAGTCGAGCTCGAACTTCTCATTGTATTAGCTCGACTCGTCTCGGCTCGATTACACCCCTAGTGATAGCCGTTATAATCCTCGTCGAAGGTGAGCTCCGACCGCCGTTGCCGATGTCAAAAAATTTTAAAATTTTTCAAAATGATCCCTTCAACACCCTAAATGCAAATCTAGCCTCCTTTTCACCAAAAATTGTCCCAACTTCCCTAGATCTGCTTTCAAAGTTTCGATGAAAATTTTTTTTTAACTGACTCTTTTTTTTTTTAAACTGACGTTTTTTTCTTCTTTGTGCAGGAAGCTCGGCGCTGGGTTTCTCTCTACGGGGAGGACTGTTCAGCAATGTGCAAAGAGGGGCAGTTGTGGACATCAAATTTATCTAGAAAAAAATAATATTATTAAATACGAAATATAAAAAAAATATAAAATACAAATACAAAATACCAAAACAATATAAAAAAATAGAACAAAAAAAAGAAAAAATCAAGGATGGCAGTGGTGCCTTCCCTGGCACCACTGCTACCATGCCCTACACCCCATCCTTCTGATCACCATACCCTACCTTTCACCCCTTTAATCACCCATACCGCAGACAACCACTACCCTCACTATCAAATAAGACAGAAACAAATAAAGATAGCATGGGGCTCGTATTTGCACCTCATGCCAAGCCTTATACCATTCACTGTCGGAGCTTTATAAATAGAGCTCCTGGCCGATCACCCAAAAAGAAGAAAAAAAAAAAAACTAAAGAGAGATTCTGCCAAAAAGAAAACCCAAAAAAAAATGATAATCAGTAATAGAGTAAAGACAAAGATAACAATTTTGTTTGGAATCCAAATGGATTTTTCTTTTTTTTTTTTCTCTTTTTTTTATAGACTACTAAAAAAAAATGCTCCTCTCACTTGAGGCTCGATAATTTTTAAAAATTTAAAATCTAAAAAAAAACTCCTCTCAGCAGAGGCTCAACAACTTTAAAAATTTTATCTTAAAAATGGCTCTTCTCAGCAGAGGCTTAATAACTTTAAAATCTCATATTGAAAAAGCTCCTTTCAGCAGAGGCTCAACAACTTCAAAAATTTTCATCTTGAAAAAAGCTCCTCTCAGCATAGGCTCAACGACTTTAAAAATCATTTTGAAAAGGGTTCATCTTAGCAGAGGCTCAATAACTTTAAAAATTTCATCTTAAAAAAGCTCATCTTAACAGAGGCTCAACAATTTTAAAATCTTATCTTGAAAAAGCTCCTCTCAACAAAGGCTCAACAACTTTAAAATTTTTATCTTTAAAAATTCTTTTAAAAAGGGCTCATCTCAGCAGAGGCTCAACAACTTTAAAAATCTCATCTGAAAAAATTCTCTTGAAAAAGGGCTCCTCTCAGCAGAGGCTCCACAACTTTAAAAATCTCATATGAAAAAGCTCTTTCAGCAGAGGCTCAACAATTTTAAAAATCTCATCTTGAAAAAGCTCTTCTCAGCAGAGGCTCAACAACTTTAAAATCTCATATGTTCTCAAAACTGAGTTCTTTTCTTTTAACAAGTAAATTTCTCTCTTTTGAAATCTTTTGTTTGATCAGGAAATGAAAAGTCTCTGTCCTTATTAAAACTACTTATGGATGCATGTATTGAGTGCTCTAAATACAATACATATAATGCAATCAAACTTATTCATTGTAGTAAAAAGGTTCTCGAAATCTCTTGCTTTTGACTTCTTTTATCAGAATTCTTATATGACCAATCTGTTCTTAACATCTGACCACAATATTTTTCTTCTTCAAAAGTCTGCAACATCAATGTCTTATCATGCTTTTCTCATCCTTTTTCATTTGTCTTTGTCAACTTTTAAAAAGTAATGCTAAGATCTTTCATGTTTATTTTTCTTTTAAGTCCAAGACCAATAAAATGCAATCACACATTTCTCCTATTCTTATGGCAGACAAAAATGAGAATAAAGGAATGAATAGGTGTTATTTTTAAAGAAAAGATAGCATATTTTAATAGACTGGTAACAAGTGCATGGTAAAGTATTTGAGTTGAAACAAATATGCCCAAATAATGATCATAAGATAATCATGAACAAAATATTTTTAGATTTTTTTTCTAAAACTAAATGATCATCAAACTATATTTGTCCCTGTATTGTGGAATGATGCTTCTTCTTTGCATCCAAGCCGTCTTTTTCAGGTTTTCAGCTTATATGAGTCATTATTTTTCATTTTTTACTTTTTTTCATTTTTTTCTTATTTTTTTCAAGCAAAATATTTTTTCACAGCAT